TGTCTCTGTCTCTCTTCTGTGTCTGTCTCTCTCTCCCGTGTGTATATGCCATGTATGTACTGTTGTGTGACTGTGGTGCATGCATTTGAGTGTGGCGTGCACTTGTGGGCACAGGTAGTACCCAGAACAGAATCTATCGTCTCCCATAACTCTTTGCCTCATTTCGTTGAGACAGGATCTTTCACAGAACCTAAAGACATTCTTTTCTAATGTGATCTTGGGACCAGTCTGTCTCCATCCCTCAGTATTAGAATCATACATAGCAATTTCTGACATTTTATGTGTGTGCCGGGGTTTCAATTCAGTTCCTCATGCCCAAGACGGATGTCAGGTCAAGCCAGACAAATTCCCAGCAGAAGAGGTAGAGTAAGAAGCCCCAACCCTGGGAGAGAATGAGTCAGTTTTCTTTAAGGATGTGATGCTGGGTAGGTTGGTCAGGCTCCAGGCGATGGACCCACACTGAAGGGCATTTGGGGGCACAAATTAAACTCCATAAGCCATAAAAATTGTAGGAGACATGAAATCTGGTGAGGAATGGAGTTGGGGAGGTTTAATCCTGCCCTTTCTTCCATCCCCTTCTTTCCTCTATATCTTGGATAATTTAAAAAATCATATGAATTCCTCATGGACTACACCACAGAAAGTTTCTAGGCCAGAACTTCTATTTTTTTGTGGGTTTAATTTGCTAACCTAATGTTTTCATTTTTTCATGTCTTAAGATTTTCTTTCTCTTCTTGCATATCTATCGTACAAAATTCCTTTCTTGTAATTTTCCATTCGTTGAACCTTTCTATTTGTTAATGTACTATCACAGTGTTCTCTAGTAATCCCTTTTATTTCTGAATAATTGGTAATATTGTCTCCCCTATCATATATGAATTTACTTATGCAAATGTCTTTTGTGGGCTTAGGGAGTCATTTTCTCTAAATATCTTTTTTAAGATGAAGTTCCAGGTTGCTGATATGTATTTCTATTTTCTGATTTGACCTTCTCAACTCTAATCCTAATTCCTAACTTCTGCTATTTTGAGTTCAGTATTAATTTTGGGAAATTATGATCGTGTGGGTTTAATTTGCTAACTTAATGTCCTCATTTTTTAATGTCTTAAGATTGTCTTTCTCTTCTTGCATATCTATCATACAAAATTCATTTCTTGTAATTTTTCCATTCATTGAACCTTTCTATTTGTTAATGTACTATCACAGTGTTCTCTAGTAATCCCTTTTATTTCTGAATAATTGGTAATATCGTCTCCCCTATCATATATGAAGTTACTTATGCAAATGTCTTTTATGGGGTTAGGGAGTCATTTTCTGTACTTGGGTATCATGAAATTCATTAATGCGCACTTGAGAATATATATTTTGCATTTTTTATTATATTGTTCTTTTGTGGTATGTGTGTGTCTGTGTCTGTACGTATACATGTGTGTGCACCACAACACTTGTGA